CTGGTTAAACCAGACGCAGAGAGCAGCTTTAAACTGTTTATTGGAATAGGAGCGACTGCTGCAAACTGAGGGAAGTCTGCAGGGTCTGCTGCAGAGCAGAGGGGCCTGGAGGACCTGGTATGTGAGAATAAGTGTTGCTGCAACAGTCTACTTAGAGAGATGACACCAAGGGTCCCCACAATGTCCAAGACGAGGTAGGTGGGAGGTGGGCAGACAGGTAGAGAACTAGTAATACTAGTATGTTAGCTGGTCTTGGCACCCAGAGAAACACTGGTTACACAGGGGGAAGCACAGGACACTGCAGAAAGGAGAGCCGATTATCACTGTGTGGGAAAAGACAGGCTGGAGGAATTCTGCCTGGAAACACCAGAAGTGGAAGGATGGCCATGGCTGCACCCACGGACGGAGCAGAGACTGTGTTGGCTGAGCGAGTTCACAACAGAGACGCTAACAAATGCAGAAAACACAAAAACTATGTTTTTAAAAAGTGTAAATATCTGCCTGAACGGGATATGTGGTGTTTCCTTTCTGTTCAAATGTTGTTTGCACTCACTTCTCTATACACGACGATTTGGAAGAAATGACTCCATTTCTGTCTGAATGAACGACAGATGAAATCTCTTAGAAGTGTGTGTTTGGATGAACAGCTGATTCTAAGCTGACATCAGAGTCAAGTGTTTTCAAAGATAACAATCAGCTGTTAGAGAGAAAAGAGACTAAATTCAAAGCATGATCTTTACTAACATGTTTAGAAAGATGATTTGTGGCCACAGCATCTGGACTCCACCAGCCCAGAGTGTGCAAGGAGGAAATGAATGACCACTGGAAGGCAAGAAGACAGCCGCTTTGCAGTTTTTGGTATAGAAGCATCCCAGCATGAGAGCATGTCTAACATGCTGGAGCAGGATGGCTCATCACTGATGAAATGATGGAACATTGAAACATCCCAAAGCTGCAGAGTTTGGTTTCCATCTGAGTCTCAAAATGTAAACCTGGAACCAGCGCTGAGAAGTCAACCTTTACCAGACGCTGACAGAATACTTGTTTAAACGATGTAATCCCATTACATTTTAAAATCAGTTTTACAGAAAGACTAAAAACCTGCCCAAAAGTCTAAATTTAGAAAAGACGACATTTGTTAAACTAAAAATCTACATTTATCAAGTTTG